CAACCCTGGTTCTCTGCCCCCTCCTTCCTCCCAGAACACGCCCAGGGGTGTCTCACAAGCCGAGCGGCCCCCTTGGCCACACGGGATGGCTCTCGGGGCTGTGGCTCGCTCTGAAAGCAGCACGAATAAAAGCTGGGAGTTCTGGCTTGGTCACCTTCTCCTCGCCTGCCTTTGTCCTTTGGCCTGCCTGTCGGTCTGCAGACGCGCTCTGTGCTTGCGCACGGGTTTGTGTGTGTGTGTGTGTGTGAGAGAGAGAGAGAGAGAGAGAGAGAGAGCGGGGGGAGAAAGGGGGAGGGGAGAGAGAGAATGGGTGGGCTGGCCTGGATGGTCTTTTGAGGAGGCCTTGAGGGGGACCCCTTGGACCAAGCTCCCAGTGGCTGCTCTGCTCTCCCCCACCCCAGTATCTGGTGCTAGCAAAGGTGGGTGGCAGGTAGAGCCCCCCCCCCGCTTCTTCTGGTCCCGGCGCAGCTGCTCTGAAGCCACCTTCCCCAATCTGGAGAGGCAGGAGGGGGGGTGTATCTTGCTGGTGACCCTCCCTCCCATTCCGGCACAAGAACAGGCTTTCCCCACCTGTGGCATCACTCAGGATGGGCTCCACAGCTCTCCCTCCCGCCTCCAGCCTGGGTGCGGTTTCTCTGCTTCTGGGAGGTCACTGCCCCACGGCATCCCTGGAGAGGGGCTCACCGCCCTGGGGACTAGAGAGAGAGAGCAGGGCTGAGCACACCCTGCGCCCACCCACCTCTGTCCTCTTCCTGGGCTTGGCTCTGACAGGCCTTAGACAAAGAGGGAGATTCTACATCCACTGAGCCCAAGGTTTGAAAGCGCCCCGTGCTCAGCGCCCAAACTGCTTGCCTCTGTTCCCTGCTGCAGATCCTCCATCAGTTCTGCAAGCCGGTTAGGCCCGCTCCTCCATCCTTGGCACCGTGGGAGGAGTGCCCAGGCGTGCGGGCCAAGAGAGCCCCAGGAGAAGGGCTTGGAGCAGCAGGAAGCCTCTCCTTTGGGACAGGTAGCTCAGGTCTGTAAGGCGCTCCTGTTGCCCAGACGACCCCCAGAAGGGCCTGGTGGGCCAGGGTGGGGAGGGATACTGGATCCGGGAGAGATTGTCTTGACTGTCAGAAAATCATCTTGTCTCCATCACTCAGCGCTCGGCTGCAGCTGGCAGTCTGAGGGCTGCGTGTGTGGCCGCAAAGCCTGTGAGTCTGCTTGGCTCCCTTCCTCGCGTCCTCAGAAGCCTCCTGCCCCATTCTTCGCTGCGTGGCCCCTGGCTTGTCTTCTTCCAGGGCAACCTGAGACGCTGGGAGGGCAGAGACTGACCTGAGGTGATTCCCGGTGGGAACTTCCGATGTTCCTCCAGTGGCTGGATGTGTTTATGTCCTCAAACTGGACATTTCTCTGAAGTTGCTAGGCTTGGCCTGTGGACTGGAAGAAAGGGCATTTTGTTCTTTTTCCAAGTTGGGACTTTCAGTGGAAGGGAAAGATGGAGCCATGAGGTCTTAGCAGAGCTGGATCCCCACCGACTCTCCCCACCGTGAGGTGGCCACTTCCCTTGCAAAAGCCTCTCCCACCACAAGGAATTACAGGTGTGGCTGCCATCAGGCACAGCCAGGCTCCAGATACCCCCCCTCTTCCATCCAGATGTTTAGAGAGTTTATCAGTCATTTTGCCAAAGCCCAGAAACACAGTACTTAACGATATGGTTGTGAAAGTCGGAAAACACCAGTGGTACGTACATAGTTTTGTCCGGTCGTCCATGTGGGCAGAGAAATTCTGTTTTAAAATAATGCACTCAACTGTCCGAATCTGAAAAGCAGTTTACTCCAGAGAGGGGAAAGAAAAACAGCAGAAAGCAGCCAACTTTCACGTACAAGCAAGCGCAGCACTCAGAATAAAATCGAAAAGTCTGCCTGCTGGCAACCGGTGAGTTACTGGAACAGAGTCTTGGGTTTCCAAGCAGCTGCAGGTGGGGTTGCAAAATTCCTTGGCAGAAAGGATGGTCTGAGGAAGAGCTGCGTAGCCTCAGATGGACAGGCTACTAGAAAAACAAGAAAGCAGCAAACTTTCCTTCGTACAGGAATCTGAATCATGTCAACCATGGTCATTGCCTTGTCCGATTTATTTAATTTCTTTAAAAGGTTTACTATATCCTGCCTTCCTCCTAAAAAGGGCCCAAAGTGGCTGCTCCACAACCTCCATCTCTGGAGCGGCAAAACAGGGAGCTGCTTCCTGGCCAGGCCTTTCTCCAAAGGCGGGACCCTCGGCTTGCCTCTCCAAAGGTCCACCCCTTCTAACCAAAGGCAATGCTGTGCAAAATAGCTTAAATTGGGGGCCCGGGGTTGGAAGCAAGAAGGGGGGTGCTCAGCCCCTGGAGGTCGCTAGGCAGAGCGGTGACTTACCAGATGCACGGGCTGGGGGGGGGAGCAAGGCCCTTTTGCTACTTTGACACCTGGCGCAGGCAGACTGGCGCCGGCGCCCTTTCTTCCAGAGGAACCCACCCTTAAGGGTGGGGCCGCCTTGTCCACTGACCCTCTCACTGGGGAGGCAAGCAAGGTGGGGAGCCCGGCAAAGGCCGTCCTGACATGTAGGCGTGGGGCCACAAGCAGGACATGGCGCAAACGGAAGGAGAACACCTACCCAAAAGCCAGGGGGTGCGTGGCCTGCATTTCTGGGCTCCCAGCAGCCATTGCTCTAACCGCAGTTCCAGTTCCCCTGGTGCGAGTGTGCACACGCGTGTGTTCCTAGCCCTGCCTGGCAGGTCACGCTCATGCCGTGGGTCAAGGCTGCCCCAAGGGCTTTGCAGGGCCCTGGCCTGCCGTGCTGGCCAGCGTGCCCTTCCAGCCGACTACAACTGCTCTCCTGCGTGCTGGGCTGTGCAGTCGGCCTCTTGTGACGAGGAGGAATCCCGTTTACCCTGTCGAGAGGAGGGCGAGGTTTCCACCGCTCAGCCTGCCTGTTTGGTTTCGCCTCCCAGTGAGATGTTTGCCTGTGTGACCTTTCAACCTGCTCTCGTGGTCTTTTTTGGAAAAATGGTTTCCTGACTCCCAAAAACTCGGCAAGCCGACCTTTCCCTTTGCGCTCTTGGCTTCCAGCCACTTGGCAAGCCCAGGCGTTTCTCTCTCTCTCTCTCTCTCTCCCCATGGGAGAATCCAGGAGGGCCCTCCTGCGGTGCCAGTCAGTGCCCTGCAATGTGTGAGGGGAGGCAGGAGGGCTGAAAAACCGTCCCGTGGCCCCTCTGCCCTCCCCCACCACGCCGGACTCTCGATTAGGCACT